CAAAATATTTTCTGTAGTAAAATCCCAGGCATGGTGTTCTGTTCTTGTCTGGGTGAATAAGACCTTTGTGTTTTTGTTTCTTTTTCGCAAACACTATATGATGGTTTTATTTTAAAGATATGATGATTATATTTTTCTCAAACATTATATGTTGTTTTTATTTGAAAGATGTGATGATTTTATTATACAAGCAGGAATGTGTATTTTTATTCAGAGTGTGAGAAACAGATACATAATCTCTGACGAATTTACAAAGGCTCTTGCCGTTGATGTTGCAGAAGAAGCAACAGTTTATGTTGGCGTATCTGGTGATGCTTGTGACCTCCAGACTCCATTACCATCCGTGGGACAGAATCCGACTTTCGGGCATTTCAATTTCTCAAACAGTATCATTTTCGGAAACAACGCCTGCAAATCTTTCCACTCAGCCTTGAATTCATGCAAATACTTCAAACGTAAGGTCCGAACGCCGCAGTTGTTGATTTCTCCAGTTGGAGGTTCGTCACTGATTCTGCTTAGCATTCCTCCTTTGATGGAGAGCTTTTCAAGTTTGGCAAGATTATTGGGGTTTAACCAACTCGGAGGATCCATATCAGGGAAACATTCTAGCTCCAACTTCTTCAAGTTAGAAGGAAGCTTAGAGGTATCTATTGCTGTAATTCCTTGGTGTTTCTTGGTTTCTTTTCCCATTCCCATACACCATCTTGGTTTACTTGATCTTGATTCCTTGGGAGCTAACTTTTCAGATCTGGAAGATGATGCTGTCTCATGAATCTCTTTTTCTTTTGCATCGTCTCTCTTCAGATCATCTAGCTTCTTCTGGATAGGAGCTTCAGAAAAACTCACTTTCTTACCAAACTTTTTAGTTTTGTCTGACTTCTGAGTCTTTTCTTCTCCTCCATTAAGCTTCTTTAAATCAGCCTCCTCCTTTTCTCCATCTCCCTTTTCCTGCACTTTGCTGTTTTCTTTGTGATCATCTGTCTTGCTCTGGATTGTGTCATTGGATTCTTGTGGTCGACTTGTCTTGTTATTTCCCTCGATAACTTTGTCTGTTTTTACCTCATCTTTCTTCTTTCCTTGTTCTAGATCAACCTTCTCCTTTTCTCCATCTTCTTTATCTGGCTTTTTCTGGATCGTGTCTGCTGATTCCCCGGAAGTACTCGCCTTCTTAACTCCTTCAACACCATTGTCTGGTTTTGAT